GGTTTTCTGTTTTTACTACCCATGAACAGAAAAAAATAATGACTGTCCCTTTTTTAAATTATATATACATATATACATTTTTTTTAAATTGTGCGAAGTACCTTTTCGTTCCTCAACTGTTCTTGAAAACTGATAAAACTGTCAAAAACAAAAATTGTCCAATAAGTCCAAAAGAAAAATCAAGAAAAAAAATATAAACACGTCCCAGAAGATAATTTAGGTAGGCCTTCTTAAGTAAAGCGATTCTGTGAGGCCTACCTAAGAAGGGCTGAAAAAAGTGCTTCCTTGCATGCCTTCTATGTAGAAGGGCTTATCCAATTACAATTTACACGAATGCATAAATTTGTATTATTTGGCATTACAAACGAATTTTAATAAACATTTTAAGTGGCAATAACACATATTTGATATAAACCTTAAGCAAATACTTCAAAGATGTATGATTTTTATAAATTAAAGAAGAAACTTTAAAAGAACTCCTTCAAAAGGCCTTGTGAAGTACGTCCTATAAAAGCCCTTCTGGAAGGTCTTCCATGGGTAGCAAAAGAAGAAGCCCTTCAATTTGTGCCACTCCATATAAAAAAGAAAGGAGAAAGGAATGTAGTGTGGAAGACCTCTTAACTCTCAGGAAGGCCTTTCAGAAGGGCTTTTAACTCCTGAAATTATCTACTGGGACGTCTGTTTAAAATGTAGGTTACCCTTTATCCAAGGCGAAAGCGGACTGTAACCACGCCCACATCCGATATAAAGGTATTTTCGAAAAATGCAAGAACTTCGATATTTCAGTAAATATTGGATGCAAATTATTGAAATATTGAAAATTACTCAATTTGCAGTTTCAATAATTTTCAAGTACAATACTTGTACCCAGTACAGTAAGCCATTTGACGTAATTGGGGTTCATATATTAATTTAAATGAAATACTGCCAGCTTGTGAGATTTCTACACTAATTATTGAAATGTTACCAACATGTGTATATTTGAAGAAAATACTCAGTACTCTGAAAAATACCCGATCCTTAAAAGTATCGATACCAGAGAACTCGATCCTCAAAAGTACTCGATACTTCCCAACACTAATTATAATATATTTAAAATAAACAACTAAATATTTTAACAATAAAAAATAATGAAAAACAGGTTGACCGAAAATGTGCTAAGTCCACATTAAAAGAACAAAATCATAAAGAGAAAATGTGGTGAGTCCCAAAAGAGCCCCTAAGTCTGCAACAGCTTTATATTGAAATTAGCCGATTATTGGTACTAAAACAAGACGAACTAAGGGAGAAAACTGCATTTACAGATTAGGAAAATATTAACAACAAAATAAGTTAGACGGTTTTTGTCCCTCCTGAAAAATTTAACAAAAAATGGACTTAGCACCTTTGCGCACTAAGCCAACAATATGTACGTTCCAATTTCTTTATCGCACTAACTGTCGGGTTTTCTAAATCGACTTTGGTTGCGATTGCATTCCGATTACATAAAATTTTTTTTCAGCCGAGTAAATTTCAAATCATTGGAATTAACATAATTAATTATATTAAAAAGTATTTACTTAAATTTTTCATAAAAAATCGCTCATGTTTGTAAATTTTTAAATTTAACGAACTTGTTTATTCAAAATATCGTCGACGAAAATGCAACCATGTGTCGCAGTCATTTCTTTCGTTACTGCAAATTGTTGCTGGCAAGAGAACTGTCACTTTTCGCTCTCAGTTTTTGAGTGGTGGATAATTTTTTTTTTTTTATTTGGAAAAAAAAGTCATCATCATTCGTCATGAAGTTCGTACAAATTTTTTGCTCGATGAACAGTAAAACTTCTTCGGGTAAAACCTTGCATCTTCTGGCAAAGAGAGGACTTGTTTTACTCTCGCATTTTTCCCCTATTTCGTAAGAGTACCGAGTGCGGCAATGCTTTTTGGTAAATTCTTGTAACTTGTGGCGAGTTGGGGAACGCAAAGTTTTATTTTTTTTATTTTTAACCGACTTAAAAAAGGAGGACGTTATCAATACGTTGTAAATTTTTTTTTATGTGTGCTACCGGATAACTTTGAAAAACCTTCAACCGTTTCCCATTATTATTTTATAGGAAAGGTAGTACCACAAGGACGGTTCCATACGCATTTGGTTAGGTTTCGATTATTGGATCATGCGTAATCTAACGGTACTCCTAAATTTTTATATGAGTATTGAAATCGGTTGTATTTTTTTCTTAAAAAATTAGTTGGTTCCCAGTAGATAATTTCAGGAGTTAAAAACCCTACCTAATGGCCTTCCTGAGAGTCAAGAGGCCTTCCACTCTACACCCCTTTCTCCTTTCCTTTTGTATGGAGTGACACAAAACCGCTGGCTTGGTCATGTCGTTCGAATGGACACCGACGGTCCAGCTCTGAAAGTATTCAACTCGGAACCCGCTCGTGGTAGCAGAGGAAGAGGGAGGCCCCCACTGCGATGGAAAGATCAGGTGGAGAAGGACTTGGCTTCACTTGGCGTCAGTTGGCATAGAGGAGAAACGACTGGCGTGCTTTGCTGAATTCGGCCAAAATCGCTTAGGCGGTTACAACGCCAAAAAAGAAGAAGAAGACACAAATTGAAGGGCTTCTTCTTTCGCTACCCATGGAAGGCCTTCCAGAAGGGCCTTTATAGGCCGTACTTCAGAAGGCCTTTTGGAGGAGTTCTTTTAAGGTTTCTTCTTTAATTTATAAAAATCATACATCTTTGAAGTATTTGCTTAAGGTTTATAACAAATATATGTTGTATGTAACAGATATTTGTAATGCTAAAAAAAAAATAAATTTATGCATTCGCATAAATTGTAAATGGATAAGCCCTTCTAGAAAGCATGCAAGGAAGCACTTTTTTCAGCCCTTTTTGGGTATGCCTCTTAGAATGGCTTTAATTAGGAAGACCTATTTATCCCTCCTTAACTTCGCAGCCTGCTAACTGCCTAAAGTAACATTTTCGTTTAACTTTTATATACTTAATTTAAGCCAACAACCCAGGGGTTGGAAGAAATGATAAGTGTAACGCCGCACCAAATTATGATTCTTAGCAACAGCAGCAACAACAACATGGTTCATATTCCGCCTACCAATAGTACTCCTATGCCAAGAAAGCGGTGCCGTGTGGAAAATGAGGAATGCGATGAAATCGAAAAAATTAATGCGGTATCGCAGATTTCTAAACGTAATGCAAGCGAAGGAGACGAGCCGCTACAACAACAACAACAACAGTGTGACATAAATAAAGGCAATGGAGAATCGGATCCCAAAAAGAATGGAGAAGCCAAGGAAACATCTACTTACGGACCTGAAGAAGTAGATTTAACAAACGATTGCGAAATGCCAAAATGCTACAAAGGTAATTATTTAACCACAATAAATATCAACAATTATTTTAAGCTAATAGTCTATATCATTTTAAAATAGAAAACCAAACAGAAAATTGTGATGGTAAACAGGCTAAAGACAGCCCAGAGGCTTCAACAAGTCAGGCCAGTGAAAGAATCGAACAGTGTAAACGTCCACCTGTGGATGTAGAAGTAAAAGAGGGCCAAATAGAGAATGAAGACAGCTGTATTAAATGCTTAAAGAAAAAGAAGAATAAGAAAATAAAAGCTAAGCGAGACATGCAACAAAAAGATGATGACTACCATTTTGTGATCAGTCTTTTGCCATACTTGCGGCGTGTGAATTTGGATCGAAAATTGCAAACACGTATGAATATGATGAAAGTCGTCATGGAGGAGATGGAATATAAAGACAATTAAATAGTAAAGTGAAAGACACATATTAATACCCCTTAATAAAAATATTTAAAATAAATGAAAGGGATGTGGATTTGCTTAACATATGCAGTAGGTGAAATGCGAGGTTAACCATGCAAATTAAAAATCAGCGGTCTAAGAGCCGGTTGTTCAAGGTCTGCTTATCACTACCTACCAGTAAAACAGCACTATCGACGTTCAACACTTACTGTGGGGAATTTCGCTTCATGATTAGAAACAGTTTTTCGTAATTAGGTGTTATTTATGAACAAAATGTAGGTTAAGGGCGGGCCGGTTCTTCAATGTCTGGTTATCACAACTTGCCGGTTAAACATCATTATCGACGTCGTTGTATTAAACCGGAGCTTCTACCTCCGATTAGTGCTAATCAGACATTGAACAACCGGCCCTAAGTATAATATCAATAGTTAAGTACATAATTAACGCTTGTGTTTCTATAAACTGAAAAAAAATCAAATCGTAATTATAGCACTGAATGGAGTTTTCTAAATTTAAGTTTAGAATTAAAAATATTCATTGTAAGATTATATTTTTATGAAATTTTGTGTTTTTTGTGGATTTATCAAGTATATAAATTTCCGAATATAGTTAAGTCTATATTCAAAAAAACAAGGATGATCTGATGACCTTCACCTAAAAGATCTGATAACCTAACCAATAAAATCATGAATTAAAAACAGTAACTCTAACCAATTTTTTTTTTTTATATGGGTTCACTCGAGAGAACAATTATTCCCATTAGTTATGGAACACGATTTCATCATGTGACTGGCTGCGCAGTAGCGCATCCTGTCAACCCAGTTTTCCAAGCCCGACATACGCCTTAAGGGCCTGAATCGTTAATAGATTGTTCGCATAACTAATATCGGTCCTTCACGGCATGTCACAAAAAAAGTCTAAAGGCTCTGTTATGCATACTCGGCAGTGCATGCACTGCTATACCATTTTTAAGTAGAAATCAAAAACCAACAGACTTCTACGTATGAAATGCTGTGCGTTGGGTAACCGCTTTCACGCGAAGCTCATTTAACAGATTCCTTATGTGACAAGAATGGATAACAGAGCCTTAACGGCAATGCCAAGTATGCATAACAGAGCCTTAACGGCGTGAAATCGCGGCTGCGAGGGGGGCCAATTGACATCGCCGAGACGGCTGATAACACAATTACCGAACTTGGCGCTCAAAATAAAAATTTAATAGATGGCACTTCTAACAAAAAATATTTTCAAACTAAAGTTTTTTAAAACTTTATTTTGACACTCATATTTTAATATGTCATTAGAATTGTGTATAAATTAGACAGAAGGCAACCCTCTGCGAAAACATTTCAAACTAAAATCTTTTTAAACCTCTTCCGTCTGATGCTGTTATACATTATTTAATTAACTGATGAATTAAATTTAGTTAAATTTTTTGTATCACCTGGCAACTCTCCTAAATACAGGTCAGATATAAATTTTTTCCAAACTCATAAACGATTGAATACCCTCTTTTAATAATTTATATAACTTTATAATTCATTTGATTTTAAAATTTTCAACAGCTGGCAACTCTTCAAACCATCAAACAAAATTTTTGTGTTCAAACTAAATATTTCTTAGCACTCTTTCGTTTAACAACCATATTTTAATACTGTATATAACTTG